CAACATTGAAAAAGATTTTGTATTTTTTATGATTAGTTTTCGAATAATGCTCTTTTCAAACGAACTTTACCTATCAGTTAGGGATATACTCGAGGAATAATAAATCCAAGCTTTTTGTTACACAGATGAATCTGGTACTATCAAAAAGAGCATACGATAATCATTTTCTATATTGATTACTCCGATAAACACTTTTGCAAGGTCTCTTTGTTTTCGAAACTGTTTACCAGTATCGGATAGGATTCTTTCGGTGAATCTAATACAATTTATAGAATTCTCATTCAAAAACAATTATGAAATGATCGTGAATGTTCCAAGATCTTATTTCCTTCGTATAGAAATCTTACACAATTTATAATGACATGTTTCCCGCAGACTATAAACTTTTCAAAACATTTCGTTGTTTAAAACCTCGCAGTTCATAACTACGGTTTCTGATTTAAACTCTCTAATAATTTATCAATATTCATCTGTTGTTCTGACGTCCTCCTCCGAGGATCCTTTCTCTTATGGAATGTGTAGAGACAGTCAAAATACCGTACTCTACACACTGACAAAGCAAGTTGCTTATTATAAATTTACCTAGAGGTAAATGATCAACACTGATCACATACATGTTGCGATGACGAAAATAGGCGAGCCGGTAGAAACGTTAACTTGCTAGAGCACCATTTCATAATAACAAATGTGGAAACCTAAGCGTCGAAATGAATGCTAGTGCAGCGTTGATTTTTGTTCACTAGGTTTTATATCGAAAGACATTGGTCACTATCTAATATGTGTTAATGTGATATACGTCCTTCGTGATAACAAATTTTATCAAGTTGAATGCTATATGATTGTTAGTTTCTTCTAGGACACAGTTGGCGAGTGAGATTCTTCTTTATGGACTCGAATCTATTGTTGCCAAAATAGAATTGTTTCGCTTTGTTGAATTATAGAAAATAGAGGAAATAGTTTCACATATACTTGAAATTATATTCGCTTATAATGATCTAAGTATGCCAACATTACACTATAGAATGAAGTCATCAATAGAACTAAGAGATAATTAAATGCCGAAATATATACGTTTTATAGATTTCTTCATATTTAAATTAAAAAAATAAACAATTAGGAATAAATTTTCATTCTAAAAACTAAAATGGAAGATAATAATGATGATGATTTTCTATTCAATGGTTGATTTTTCCTAATCGAAAAATTTCTCAACTACATTTTCAATTCCTTCACAAGATTTTAACAATGAAAATCCTCAGCCATCAGCTAGTCTAACAGATGAGGTTCTTAAACAAGATTTTCAAAGCAAAAACAAAACAAAAATCTATTCTGAAAATGAATTTTCTTCAATTAATATCGTTTGCAAATATACATCATAGTGATGAAAATCTTGATTCTATTATAGAAATACAAGGTCTTAATGGAGCATTTCCAAGAACTTTTATAATAACAACAATGAAACGAGAAACCATACCATCAGAAAGGTGCGTTGTTAAAAATAAATTGAATAATCATCAAACCAAAATGAAAATAACAAAACTGAAACAATAAGTAAAATATGTGGAGATAAACATCGTAAAACAATAAAACAAGATGGTAAAATAATTCGAGAATATGGAAATGCAACAATAAATGAATTAGATCAAGTTTATTCATCGTCGACTGATAGTAATGATCAAGCAATTATTGGCGAGAGTAGACGTTCGGATTTTTTCTACAAAACTTTTTTGTTAAATAAAATTTTCTTGTTCAAATGATCTACTAAAAATAAATGAAAGAAAATATTATTTTGGTTGGTCATTTTTATTTTGAAAGAAAAACATTTAGTTGTCTCGCTATATTTTACTTAATATATTTTATTTTCTCCGCTTTATCAAAACTGAATATCTTCTCCGATTGAAAATAAACTTATCAATAACAGCATCATTTTCATCAACAACGACAGAAGGAAAAAGAAAAAAAGTATCGACTCAGATCGAATGAGCATCCAACAGCTTATATACAATTAGAAAAAAAACTTTTTTTCCTCTAATCTTCATTTACGATTTACTCATACATTAGAATATCAATTTAATTTGGAGAATATGAGTGTGAGTGTGTCTCTTTTCTTCCGTCACCAGTATACTCATACCCCACACCCACACCCACACCCATAAATGAAATAAAGGATATTATCAATTCAGAAATGATTCACTGGCAACAATAATCCTTTACGATAATATGAATAAATGCATTTAATTATTACTCTGAGTTCAAGAAAATAAACTTACTTTTGATTACCATTCATTAATGAATGTTTATCAGGTAGCCAAGGATTTCTCAGACTAAAGCTGAGCTTTTGCAATTGTGGATAATATTTAAGTAAATGTAACAGAAAGGTTAGTGAACATTTTCGAAGTACAATTGATTGTGTAAGTTCAAAAATCTTGTTTCAATCTGCATGAAAGCTTTATTAACTGATAGAACCATCTTTTTGTATACACTACGGGGAACGAAGGTGACATGGATGTAACAAAGGAAATAAGTCAAATATTCGTTCATAATATGCACCATCAGGCACACCTTCAAATGTATAAGCAGTACGATAGTAAGTTGAAAAATGCACGCCAAACATGATGAGAGAAGTGTTGGATAAAAATAAATGTGATGCTAACCATAATCCATTATCAATAGGTAATGTATCCTGTACACATAATGAAATAATATATTTACATACGTTCGATTGTAATAAATGTATGTAATAGAATTTGATCACCGCTATACTCATTCGATTTTGACGCTATCGAACATTGTGTATGATTCTTATTTAACAGCTTCATAAACAATAATACAAAACTTTATGGTTCTTCCTGATGAGCAACATCGCGATAAAATGGTGGTGTTTTTTTTCTATTCATTAATTTCATACGTCAATGTAACGTTTATAAGAGTCAAAAATGAAATCTTTTACTGTTTTTTGAAATAAAGCTAAATGACAATTATGAATACTAATTTAAGTGATCGTTATTTTTTTTTTCACCATACATCGTCCTTTCCATTTACAGGACCATGCTTTTTGAATGCTTGAGATAATGAAAACTATAAGATATTAAAATTCTAATACTTTAAGCTGTACCTTTGACTCGATATAATATGAAATAATAAATGTCGTAGATTCAATTTTCTGTTGTTTTAGTTAAATTGTATCAAAATAATTCATTCTGATTCTAACAGGTAGAAAATTTTGTGTAAATTTCGTTTGTATTCTTTTTACAATTTGACTTTTTAAATACTCTCTTAAATTCTAAATACTACATTCATTAAAGTATCAAGTTGTCGAAATCAAAATTTGATAATATTGAATTTTAATTTTTCATACAATTAGATTAGATTGTAAGTAGTTAAAAGGATACAAGTTTCTGATATATATAATGATTTGATATACTATTGAAATAGCAAATGGACTAATACTTTTTTGCTTTGTTTCTAATAAGTGTTATCATCTTTTTAATAATGCATCTTTCATTTCAGAGATTTGATTGTGTATTTTTTATTTGATACAAAAAAAAATTATAAATAAAAGTTTCATAGAAAAGAATATTATCAAGAAAACTTAGCATTTTCGATCAATTATGTATCTCGACCTTCTCGTTCTTGTCTTATATTATAGTCATTGGTTATTGTTCGAAAAGTTTTTATTTATCTATTCTTTCAAACACCACGTTAAAGAAAATGTTTATGAATTCCATTTCCATAAATAAGTAACTACTAACGATCATCAATAAATGCTGTTACATATAGTATAAAATTAATGCTTTGATGTTCTTTTAATCGTAATAATGAAGGAATTTATTACTAAGTTTTCTTTTGACCAAATTTTTATTAAATTCTATTTTGTTAATGAAACATATTGTCATATAATTTCTTTTCGATCATGACAACAAATAAAAATACTTCTATCTTGTACAACATAAGTCAAAGAAATAAGATGATTTGATTGAGTACCATGAATTTTTTTAATCGTAGTATTTATATCTTATTAAATTATTTAAAAAAAACAATAAAAATAAAAAACTAATTACTTACTAAAGTACCATTAACATTGTATAAGATAAGTTCATCTTTATCATATGTAAGAATATCATCTCGTTTTGAATGACATGCCATAGCACAACAAGTTGATGAAAAACTATACAATTGTACAGATACTGTTCACGATAATGAGTGACGAACTGTTGAATAAAACGTAGGTGTCTCAAGTATATTTGTTGAAGGACATCTTTTAAGATCATAAATTGAACCTGTTATATCTTTGTTCTAAATCAAATAGGTAATAATCGATTAGACTGAAAAGGATCAAATCAAACTTGAATAGATGTTGGTAAATATGTTTATACATGACTAAGAGAAAGATCAAATAATCTATTTCATCTGTATATGTTGAACATGTAAACGAATATCGTCTGCTATTGAATTTTATCGAATTGTGTCTCTGTTATACAAGGTTCATTTCAATTCACCGAGGGACCTAAAAAAACACGTGTTATTTAAGATCTTATCAGTTGCTTTATACTTGCAACGAAGAGCAAATACTTTTAATTGATGTGGCATTGTTGTTTTGGTAAGGTACAACTTTCTATTTCATTCATAAGTTATAGTACTATTAAATTTATTTTCAATAGTACATGTAATTGAAAAATTTCGACGTAAACCATCGTCGTAAAGAAACAACAACGCCAATAGATGGGAATGTGATGCCTTTTTTTAACCCAGTCTGGTGTCTCTTGACCAGATGTGGGACACTCATCTGAAATGCAATATTATCAAAAGATAACATATTATTTTCCAGGTGGATTATTTCTATATGTTCGTTTACTATCATTATATGGTGAACATTCTTTTGAGTATGAAATTTTGATTCGAATTTCTCAATCATTTCCACTATCATTTATCATCAATCACAAAAACATAAACAACTTTATAAATCAAAAAATCATAATGAAAATTCATCAATTATTAAATATAATTATCTTATTACACTAGATAGTTCAAAAGTTTATGATAATTATATAGAAGAATTTTTATTTAATACAAAAACATATTTTCATACTAATATTCTTCTTTATATCAATGATTAGTCATTAGAAAGAGTGGCACACAAGTTTACCAGAGATGATACACGAATTAATTATGTTAAAATAATTGAAATTTATTTATTCGAAGGAAAATTTCTTGAAAATTTTTGTAAGATTATTTTCCTTTTGCAATAAGACATTGATTATTACTTTAGCAGGGGTCGCAGCGGCCTATGTCTGAAAATCAGGAAAATAGGCAGGACACATTTTAGAAAAAAATCAGGAATTTCGATTAAAATCAGGACATTTTAAGTCTTATCATAGTGCTATTGTTCAGGATGAAAGCTGCACAATAGTATATCGGTCAATGATAGTTCATTGGAATTACTATATTATATTTCGCCGAATACGTGCTTCGAGTTCTGCTTTTTTCCTTTTCGTTCGCTATCTCTATTTATGCATTGTGTATACGTTTTCTTTTTCTCAGATACGTGGCCTACGGAAGGGGACATGCTTCATCATTGGAGTCTTATTTGTTTCTAGTAGAAATCGCATTTTTATCAGAAAAATAGCCGTAAAAAGAAATAAGAAAAATCCGCATTTTCGCAGTGTTTAAGGTTCTATAACCATCTTTTCGGCACTGAAACAATTTCCCTGCATCACGTTTCCTTCTCCTTTCTGCTACTTTTCCTCTTCTTCATATCCCTGCTCTTCGCACATATAAAACCACCATGTTATAGATAAACGAATAAAAGCGTTTACAAGAAAACCTTAGTAAATCGACTAAAATGTTAACATAAGAGAATACAAGATTTAATGCAGCTACCCACGGTCGTGAACTGTATGATATAAATACCGCCGAAGTACTGGTGATAATTACTAATGATAAAATTGCTGCTTTCAAAAACCAATTAATTCGAAATAATCGATTCTTAAAGTGATTATACAAGAAAAAAATGGACAGAATAAAAATTTGAGTACCATCTTTCTTTTTATAGAAAATATTCAACAAATATTTTCATAAAATTTTTAAGAAACATTGAGCATAACAAAATAAAACATTAAAATGACGTATATGTGGTCCTACAGAGATAAATCTTGAAAAATCAGGACAAAAGCAGGTTTTTCAGTCAAAAGCAGGAAAATCAGGACACCTTTAAAAAATCAGGAAAAAATCAGGAAAGTACACACGCTGCAAGACCTGCTTTAGTAAAACAAATTTATTATCTTATTGAAAGATCAAATATTTCAAAAAACACAACAGAAATAATATTTATCAAGAAAGAAGTCAATATCATTATGTGTGAAAACTTCTTATCTGTTAGCAAATTGATTTATATTGCTAGAAATCACTGTAAATCAGTTTATTTCCTCTTAATTTGACTAACATATTTATTTATCACTATGAATGAGAAGAAGCTGTCACGAAAAAAAGATCATTTCTAAACTGAATTCGGTGGTGAAGTAGCCTTATTCTTACCAAATAATTATGATATTTGTCAAGATAAAACTCTTAATTGATAGTTGATGGGAAAAAAATTTGTTCATTTATTATTGAAAACTTTTCTACTAAAGAATATTGATCATTGAAATTTATATTAAAAAAAAAAATATTTGAATAATTCATATAAAATTTGACTAAAAAGATAAAAAAAAGAGTACATTCATCTAATTGATCAATAAATTAATATGAATTATTTTTATTTAAATAATCAATTAGAAAATGAACTCAAATTAATTAATATTAATAAATTTTAACATTTTGTAAAATCAATAATTGAGAGTCATATTTACACTAAAACAAGTATCGAATTGAAAACTTACAAATGAGGCAAATGATTACATTGTTGATTAAGAGAAAAATATTTTATAATAAATATATCAGTATCAACATGCAAAATCAAGCTTTATTCCAATATCAAACAAGTATGGCTAATCGAATAGAAATATACCAGCAACGTTTGTGTTATTTTTATAGTCTATATTGCTAATAAATTAATTAATCAACTTTTAATTTTTTTTATAGCGCTACTTTATGGTTCGCAAGCTACAATTTATGCAACTTTTGGTTCACGAACACCTTAGTATGAAAATATGGTTCGAATAGATCTTATTTCAATGAAAAAAAATTCTAATCTCTCTTTCGACACCTTTTCATGATGACTCAATGACTCTAGCTACTCATGATGGTGCATTAGTTTCATACTTGTCAAATTTTGTAAAAAGAATAGTTTCTTTTCTTTATTTACAATTTTTGAACACTAACTTGTGAGTGTGGTATATGAATTGAGTGAAGAAAAATATTATTCTCATATTCAATAGAAATAATGTTTTGCCAAATTGACATATAAAACAAGATAAACCTTATCTTAATGATTGAATAGAGTTTGACAATGTCTACTTCAAACAAGGTTAGTATTTGCGAAAATCAAATGTTCTATTGAACGCACTTTTCTACAATTATTTTTTCTAAATAATTCTTACTTCTAGTCGGTAATTTATACATATGTTTTTTTTTGTTGTGACTCTCATGTACAAGTGCAAATTTATTTTTCTTCTCTCTTTTCTCCATTCTGAATCATTTTATTTGAAGCATAATAATCACATTTTAAAAACAAACAAAAGAATTTTTTTCTAAGTTGTTATTGAAGAAAATGTTGAGTAACAACCACAAAGGATTACTCCTCTGGATAGTAAAGACAAAAAAAGCAATAACTATGTTTATGAGTTATACTTTTAATGAAGAACGGTAACGATTGATTATTGTGGATGGCTCATAAGAATTTCATAAATTTCTCAA